AGCCTGGAGAAGAGAAGGTTGTGTGGAGACCTCAGAGCAACTTTCCAATACCTGAAGGACCTACAAGGAGCCAGAGAGGGACTCTGTGTTAGGAACTGCAATGATAGGACAAGGGGAAATGGGTTCAAACTGAAGGAGGGAGAGTCTAGGCTGGATATGAGAAGAATGTTTTTCCCTGTTCTGGTGGTGAGACCCTGGCCCAAGTTGCCCAGGGAGGCTGTGGCTGCCCCAACCCTGGCAGTGTTCACAGCCAGGTTGGCTGAGCCTTGAGCAACCTGCTCTGGTGGGAGGTGTCCCTGCCCAGGGCAGGGGTTGGGGCTGGATGATTTCTAAGGTCCATTCCAACCTCTAAATTTTATGATTCTATTATCTAAAAGTGCTACAATCACTTCAACCCAACCTTTAGTCGCTATGCTGCTCAATCCCCATTTGACATTTGCTCCTACTCCTCTCATTTTCTATTGCAATCAATGCTCCAGCCTAGAAATTCAGTGAATAGCAAAACCTCACACTCATCATCTCAAACCAACCACCCTGAGTCAATACAAACTATCTCAAATTGTTTGAATATTACCAAAATGCTGTTGCTTTTTTATGCACTTACTAAGTACAAGAGAGAGATTAAAAAGGCACATGCTGATGCTCCTAAATATGAAATATTGTTGTTCCTTCTGACAGGATTAGCTAAATACCTAAATGATAAGAACACTCCCCTTTATTTTTGCTACACTCAGAAAATGTGCACAGAAAAGTCACTCTTTGATCCATTTCACTAGCCTTTGTATACATAAAAAAATTATTTTTAGTAGTCTTTGGCAGCTCTGTAAGTTTCCCTTTGATGTATAAAGGTTTTATGATCAATAATACCTGGCATTGTTACACTTGCTCTGAGTCAAGGGAAAAAAAACCCACTCCAAAAAGTAATGCAGCACTGGCAAAAAATGATATGGATTTTGGCTGCTCAGAGAATGTAATTATCTTAGTAAATGTATGTGGGTTTTGGTAATGAGACTCCAATTTTCAGATGGATTATTTTTAATAACATCTTTTCAGGGTGGCTTTATTAGATATTCTAAATCAGAGCTCAGCACTTACCTAAGAGATAAATACCTCAACCCCTTCAATAGGTTTTAGTCGAAGGACTCAGCACTCCACAGAGAATGTTAATGAAATTGGAGGGGGAAAGGGATGAAGCTAAGCTTGCTAGAGATAAGCAACACAGCAATGTTTGAGGGATGACGTGCTAGGGAGGTCCTTAGCTCTGCTGTCTCAGTGGAGGAAGGGAATGGAGATCCATGTGGCAGCACAGACACAAGGGCTATCATAGAATTTTAGAGGTTGGAATGGACCTTAGAGATCATCCAGTGGGATAGCCCTGCATGTTAGGGAGTGTTTTAGTAGTCTAGAGCTTGATGATGGTGACAAGAGGGTCAAGTGTTTATGTCTAAGAATCATGGGGAAGACCAACGAGGCAGATATCCTGATGGGAGTGTTAAAGATCACCCAGCTAGCATGAAGAAGGATCTGGTGCTGCTGGTTGACAGTGGCTGAACATGAGCCAGCAGTGTGCTCAGGTGGCCAAGAAGGCCAATGGTATCCTGGCCAGTGTCAAGAATATTGTAGCTAAAAGGACCAGGGCAGTGATCACCCCCTGTACTTGGCACTGGTGAGGCACATCTAGTACTGTGTCCAGTTCTGGGCCCCTCACTACGAGAAGAACATGGAGATGCTGAAGGAGTCCAGAGAAGAGCTGGTGAAGGATCTGGAGCATGAATCCTATGAGGAGCAGCTAGGGTGGTTTATTCTGGAGAAAAGGAGGCTCAGGGGGCACCTTATTGCTCTCTACAACTCCCTGGAAGGAGATTGTAGAGAGGGAAGAGTCAGTCTCTTCTCCTAAGTTAAAAGCCATAGGACGAGAGAGAACAGCTTGGGGTTGCACCAGGGGAGGTTTAGATTAGATACTATGAAAACTTTCTTCCCCAAAAGGGCTGTCAGGCAGTGGAGCAGTGCTTCAGTCCCTGTCCCTGGAGGTATTTCAAAGACAAAGCAGCTCAGAGCAGAATCCTAGCATGATGCATCATACGCTGATCCTGGGTTTGGGTGACCAGTACTAAACTTCACATGTTCGGAAACCAGTTTTAATGGGGAATGTACTGAAGCACAATCCAAACCTCCCATCTGAATTCCCACAGCTCCCCCATGCCAAACAACACATATCTGCATGATGAGCCACAGTCATTGAACTGGCATCGAACAGTTCCTGCCTTGGATTCGTTCTAGCAGTGAATCAATTTCCTGATCTGGTTCAGGAGGCAGACACTGAGATGTCTGCGTTAATGGAAGTGAATGAAAATGCTTTTGGTTGACCTCTACCCACTTTGAGCATATGTGAAAGCACCACAGGGACCTGATGCACAGGCTGGGAGAACATATGGCAAATAACCACCAGTCCCATTAACCACCAACCCACTGAGGTCTCTCTCTTTCTGGGATATTTGCATATGTTATCCCATCCCTGTTTGACATTAGAGCTGTTTATTAAACTCTGCATTTGCAGTATAGTCAAACCTCATCTGCTGTAAGATATGACTGACTGTAAAGCCCTGAGGAATTACATGACATACCCACAGGAGTCTATTTCCAGAATTAATTTCCCTAAACATGGCATTTTGTAAGCTGTTAATAGTATATAACCTCTTACAGCACTTATGCAGTGTAAAATTCACATATCTTTTCTAGAAGTGCTGGTTATTATGGCAGCAAACACCATTAATAGCTGTTCTCAGTTACTAATAACACTTTAAAATCACAATCCAGTGACCACTTTAGCCCAAATATCATCACTGTACCACACAGTGCAATCTGCTACTGTATCACTAATATTTATCTCATCTTGCAAGGGAATTATCACAGTTGGTAAGGACAAAGCTCTTTTTGCTCCAGCTGAAAAACCCTGTGAATAAATCATGTCATGTTTAGATGTGGAAAACAGGTCAATGGCTAGAGATGAACCTTCCCTACAGCACAGCTGTAGGAAACCACATTCCATCTGACAGCACACATTCTTTTTAACAGAATCCTCTTAGAGGGCACTGCATTAAAAAAATCCTTTTTATAAAATAATTTTTGTTCAACTTATTTATTCATCAGTGACTTGGCTGAGGGCACAGAGTTGCCTTCTCAGCAAGTTCCTGATGATACAGAGCTGGGAGGAGCAGTGACACCTCAGAGGGCTGTGCTGCCCTTCAGAGGGACCTCGACAGGTTGGAGAGATCTGCAGAGCAGAACCAACTGAGATTCAACAAGGGCAAGTGCAGGTCCTGCCCCTGGGGAGGAATAACCCCAAGCACCAGCACAGGTTGGCACTGACCTGCTGGAGAGCAGCTCTGAGGAGAACGACCTGGGGGTCCTGGTGGACAACAGGCTGTCCATGGGTCACAGTGTGTCCTTGTGGCTAAGGAGGCCAATGGAATCCTGGGATGCATTGGGAAGAGCACTGCCAGCAGGTCAGGGAGGTGATCCTGACCCTCTGCTCAGCCCTTGTGTCTTCTCCCTGCAGCCCTGGCAGGACACACATCCCCCACCTCTCTCCAGCCCTGGCAGGAGTTACAGAGAGCCAGGAGGTCACTCCTGAGCCTCTTCTCCAGGCTGACCAAACCCAACTCCCTCAGCCCTTGCCCATGTGCTCTAGCCCTTTGCTGCCCTTGTTGCCCTTGGCTGGACTCGCTCCAGTGCCTGAGGTTGGAGCAGATGACCATTGTGGTCCCTTCTAACCTGATTCTGTAATTCAACTGTATAAATGGACAGAGAGAACATTCCGAGGAATCAAACCTCTTGTAAATTACAAATACACAGCATAACACTAAGACTTCACTTAAACCAACCTTCTTCCAAGTCATGTTACCTACCTGGAGGCCAGAGAAGCAGAGTGGGAGGTTAATGGCTGGACCTGATGGTCTGAGAGGTTTCCTCCAGCCTTGGTGGTTCTGTGGTTCTCTGACCTGAGTGCAGGCACAGCATACTCAGCTCATGTTTTTGGACTCTGTGGTAATAACACAACAGTCACTACCCATTCCAATATTTTTCTCACCAGTACTTTGGTGGAGTAGTATTTTATATATCCTTGAAATAAAAGGAAATCCACACAGTGATTATAAATTAAGACCGATTTCAGCTTTTATTTACATAGTTTAGCAAACAGATTCAAGCAATTATTGCCTCAGTCATTCAGATTCTGAACATCACCATAAACAAGAAGTCTGGAGCAGTTGTTCCATTCTTCATGGAGCTGTGGTTAATGTTCAACACTTTTCTTTCTCCAGCGAAGCCACCTCAGAGCTCTCACCAGTGCTACTTGTCCCATGAGGAATGTGATAGTAAAGTTCCTTTTATACCAATCCCTAGGATTCCAAAGGCAGGAAAGTCATCAGCACACAGAACAAAGGCAGGAAAAAGGTTCACAGTTCTATTCAAATATCCTTTAGCATTGGCAAATGACAATTCAGGGATGACCTGCATGTTCTGTGCTTTGTGGGAACACTTTTCCTGCTTAATGAGAGTTAAATAACCTATGGAAAAGTCTATGTGTATATCCACAGCCACGAGCAGATCACAGATGGATTACAGGGCTACAACTGCTGAGAGTTTAGCTGTGACAAAGGTAAGGGATGAGTAATTTTATGACCAACTGCATTTGAAATCAGGGAAGATAAAGGAGTTGAAGCCACATCTCATGTTTCAAAAGCTGATCACCAAGCTACCTAGAATAACTTCCTGCCAGTGCTGTGCTATGGGTAAGGGTTGTTTGTGTGTAGATGAAGATCAGTGGATGAGCAGCTCACCATGAGTTGCAGTGTGAGCTCACGGCCCAGAAACCAATCCAGTCCTGGGCTGCATTCACAGGAGTGTGGGCAGCAGGGCAAGGGAGGTGATTCTGCCCCTCTGCTCTGCTCTGCTGAGACCCACCTGGAATACTGCACACAGTTCTGGTGCCTCAATATAAGAAAGACTTGGAACTGTTGGAGCAAGTCCAGAGGAGGCCGAAAAGTTACTAAGAGCACTGGAGCATCTCCCCTGTGAGGACAGGCTGAGGGAGTTGGGGCTGTTGAGCCTGGAGAAGAGAAGGTTGTGTGGAGACCTCAGAGCAACTTTTCAATACTTGAAGGGCCTACAAGGAGCTGGAGAGGGACTCTGTGTTAGGAACTGCAGTGATAGGACAAGGGCTAACGGGTTCAAACTGAAGGAGGGAAAGTCTAGGTTGGATGTGAGAGAAAAGTTTTTCCCTGTTCTGGTGGTGAGACCCTGTCCCAGGTTGCCCAGGGAGGCTGTGGTTGCCCCAACCCCGGCAGTGTTCACAGCCAGGTTGGCTGAGCCTTGAGCAACCTGCTCTGGTGGGAGGTGTCCCTGCCCAGGGCAGGGGGTTGGGACTAGATGCTCTGTAAGCTCCATTTCAACCCCTAAATTCTACGATTCTATGATTCTATGAAGATGCAGGTGTTGAAAAGGGCATAGTTGGTCACCTATATGGGTGGAAGAAGATAAAAATCAAATCACACTTCAAAGACTAATTGTATAACCCAGTGCAGGAAACATTATCTTCCTACTGCAGTATCTTTTAAAGGTGATGCCTTTAATATTGCCAAAGTTAGACTTTATATCTTTAAGTGATTTGATTTTCATGCAGCATGCATAGTTTTGGAACCAATTCAAGTTCTACACAGAATAGTCTGTATCAGCCCTTTGTCACCTTGGAGAACTTGACATTCTTCCCCCTCTTATAAACTGAAATAACAAGATTTCTTTCTAGTTTCTAACAAGAATCCCAACTATTTTTGTAAAGTGCTCCACAAGAAGCAATGGAATACGCAGAGTTATAGAACTAGCAAGGAATATTAAACTCTGAGATTACAGGCCTTGCCTTGAGGTATCTGTGGGAAACCTTCCGAGTACAGATCTAACATAAGCCTGAGATACTAACCCCTCAGTAGAGCTAGTAGCCAAATTCACACTGACAGGCAGCACTGAGCTACCCCTTCAGATGTCATGTTAAATCAAAATATCATGCTAACATTGCAACTGTTTCTTTTCCCCTTTCATGTTTCATTTCCTATATCCTCCTTGAATTTTTTTTTCCTAAACTAGACTGGATTTCCAGTCTAAATAGCCTGAACTAAATATTCAAGGCATCTATGCACAGTCATTGCCTCAATTTTAACTGAACTTTAGGAGTGGCAACACTTGAGCTGCCACAGATTTTGGGCCAGCTGGCAATGCTGCAAAAGAACATACAGCTCAGTGCCTGAACAGATTTGTATAAATAATGACCCCTCAAAATCAGAGTGCCTGGAAAAAGCTCTGCTGCTTTCAGGGCTGTGCAGTTCCACTTTGAAACTACAATGAGTCACCATCCATGGGAGTGTTCAAGAGGCATCTGGATCTGGCACTGCAGAATATGGTTTAGGGTTTGGGGGTTCCAGCAGTGACAGGTTAATGGTTGGACTCAATGATCTTAGAGGTCTCCTCCAACCTTGATGGTTCTATAATGCAGGTGACACTACCTGATTTTACAAGGCAGCAACAAGAAGGTCATGTTTAGGCACAAAGCCTGAATTCTCTTCCCATGAACATGGGACACTACCCTGAGATCAGTACAACAACAGTTACTGGTGACCAGTTCTAACATAAACTATTTGCATTCTCACTCATCAGAGGAAATGTGAACAACAATCCGTTCACCAAAGATCATTTCTTACTTTCCATCTTTTCAAGACAAGATGTGCGTATTTTTTTAGATATTTGTTACAATGAATTGTTCTTCCAGGATAGAATTTTATGGGTTACGCAGAACACGTACCAAGAACCTTAAACCACAAGTTGTTATGGATCAGTTAGAACCACAGAACCATCAAGGTTGGAGGAGACCTCTAAGATCATCGAGTCCAACCATTAACCTGTCACTGCTGGAACCCCTAAACCCTCCACCAGATCCTCCAGTGCCACATCCAGACGTCTGTTAAACACTTCCAGGGATGGTGAATCCACCACCTCCCTAGGCAGCACATTCCAATGCCTGAGCACTCTGTCTGTAAAAAATCTCTTCCTAATATCCAACCTAACCCTCCCCTGGCAGAGCTTGAGTCTGTGCCCTCTTGTCCTGCTGCTGGTTGCCTGGGAGAAGAGACCAACCCCCACCTGACTCCAACCTCCTGTCAGGGAGTTGCAGAGGGTGATAAGGTCTCCCCTGAGCCTCCTCTTCTCCAGGCTGAACACCCCCAGCTCCCTCAGCCTCTCCTCATGGCACTTGTGCTCGAGTTCCTTCACCAGCCTCGTTGCTCTTCTCTGGACTTGCTCCAGCACCTCAATGTCCCTCCTGAAATGATGCTGTGAAGAGCACAGTGCATGTGGCCTCATCAAGCTGTAGCTGAGTTTCTACACAGTATGGGCTCAGAAAATCAATTTACTAATGCCTGGCGTTAGTGATCAAATCCCTGCAAACTCAAGGCTAATCACTTTCATTTTCACTATGTGCTGGCAAAATAATAAAACCAAGAATGCTAAATGTTACTCTCATGAAACAATTTTCCTTTGGGATAAATCACATCTATTAGTCCTTATTTAACAGTCAACTAGAATCTGTTAAACTGATAAATTTCAACTGGTTTATTTGCATATTTATCAGTATCAATTAGCAGCATGAAAAGACCCAAGCCCTAACATGAAAAATTGAGTGCCTGATGTTCTATTTAAACCTCAGACTTGAGTTTCATCTTTCCACTAAATCAAGAAGCAGCAGCAGAATGGAAAATATAATGCAAATTTCTGTCAATGATAACATTTTCAAAAAATGATCTTAAAATTATAGATGTAGTTGCTGTTTTACCAATGATAGAGAAAAATATTCAAGTTCCAACATGATCTTATGCCTTCCACTGTCACGTATGATGGTCAACATAAATTCTTTCTGCATACCTGTTATACTGCATATGCTTCCTAAAGTTTTTCCTCAGGAAGTCCTTGTAAAAATCAGCCATTTCTTCTGCACTCAGCGTTGGTTTCTGACCTGAAAATAAGTTTGGGCATAACAAAGTCAAGGCAATTAAAAACACTGCTCACCTTGAAGCTAGCAGAGCCCTTATTAGTTGTGGAAGTGATGATGTTTATCTGGTCTTAGAATGTTTAGGGAATTAGTGAATCCCTATGAAAAAGTCCATAGATCTAGGAATAATCTATTATCTATTCCTTTGGATAAAATTAGGGCTGAAGTCTCAGCACTAGTCAGAGCACTGAGTCACTTAAATTCTCCCCTGAAGCAAGCCAATAAATAGAGAACTCTTACCATTGATGTGATATTTTCAGACATCCTTTTTTTTCCTGTTGCTACTGGTAAATTTCAAGTAACTTACACCACAAAGTTCTGAGCTGTCAGGTTTATTACCATACAGCAGACAAATATTTTGTGAAGAAGCAGATACAAAAGATGACTTTAAATAAGCCAGTTCTAAGGAAAGCATACAAGGAGATGGATTCTCTCTACAGAGCAGGAAAACCTATGGCTAAACCACAGATGTGAGAACCAGTGACTTCTCTCAACTCTGCCAGACAATCCCTACACAAACCTTCTGGCACTTTCAGTGTCCCTAAAATGAGGGTCAAATTTGAATGCTCCAGGGAACATGGATATGATGAGGGAGAAGGAATTGGGATACTCAAGTTGTTACTGATCCAGAATGCATTTCAAGGCTCCTGCTCACAGAAATGTGATTTATCAACCAGTTCTGTCATTCTTTACACATCTGATGTACTACAATGGGTTAACACACTGTGGGATAAATTTACTCTAAGACTATTTGCAGGCTGCCTACTTAACACCTGCAGTTAATTTGTTTATTTGTACTGTTATCACCAGAACTGATTCATCACACAGAAAAGCAATTTTTTTCCAACTGTTTGTGTATATGGTTATTCCTCTTACACAGCTGTATGACAGAAAAATGAATGAGCACATGCAGCCACTCTAGTTTTACTTCTGAAGGGGGTACATGATTATTGTTTTTTATTTCTAGGGTCTAAAACCAAAGCAAACCCAAAACAGCAATACAAAAGAAGCATTTTCCAAACAACACCGAACTTAATTAAGGTTATTTCTCCACCACAGACTGTCTACAAACAGAAGAGAAAAATAATGGTCTGGGACATGCAGAGCATCAGAGCTGATGTCTTACTAAGCTCAAACAGATCATTATTCTAGGAACAAAATGTTCAACCTCAACCTACAATGGCCAATTCACTGATATTAAGAAGGCATCTTGTTTTCAGTGTTACACAGTGGATTAGAGAGGCCACAACTATTTTACAGCAACTGTGCTCAGGCAGAGACAGGCAGAGAGCAGCTGCCACCCCCTTGAAGCTGATTCTCCCTCAAGGAGAAATACTGTATTCCTGACCCCAAAGGCTGTGAGTTTATCCACCCAACCACGACATGACTTGAGCCAAATGCTTTGTGTGTTTAGCTCGGTGGGTTAGGAGGTGTGAAAGCAAAAAGCCCCTTCCTCCTGAGGCTACAAAATTTGGATTTCGGCATGTTCCCTCCAGCTGCAGGGAAGGAATTAGGAGACTAAGAGTGCAACACATGATCTCACCCCTCTGAAGAATTCCCCCCCTCCTTTTTTTGTCATGCTCCTGCAAACACTTCAGTCTTACCCTGAAGATTCACTCGTGACAGGACACAAAGAGCATCAGCTAACAAAATGCAAAGACAAACAGAATTCAGAACGCATCAACAAGGACTCACTAACCTGTTTCATCTCTCACTTCCAGACCTTTGGCTTTCAGTCTTGAGTATATAAATTCTTCTTTTTCCTAAAACATGTTTTGCCACATTAGAATCTGATGCAGTCAGTCCTTGAAGTTAACCACTGGTTTTAATTACATAGCAGTGTGGTGCTTAACACCCTCCAAAATAACCAACGATACTCATTATAAAGTGTAAGCTAAACATTTCCCTGAATCCAGAGAGTTAGTTAAACCATTTGTCACCTAGATCCTGCTACCCTGCATGTATTAATTATTGCACATGTTCTGCTGATACTTATAAAACTTATTTGTGGAGTAAATCTACAGCTGAGCTTCAGTACAGCCTGACAGGATCCAAACTCTCAGTTTGTAATACAAACTATGGAACTGAGAATTTGAGCATAGAGAAAAACATGAAGCCTAAAAAAATGACCTAGATGGAAACAGAGTAATTATTTGTGCATAAGTTTTTTCTAACTTAAAAAAGCAGTTCTATGGAATTGAAAAATCCTCAAACTTTGTTCTCTTCTCTGAGATATCTGCAAGTTTTGGGAGGGTATGAGGATCAAAGATCATCACAAATGATGGTGAATTACTGTTCTCCCAAAAATGCAGCATGGATTAGGAGCTGCTGAAATCAGGAAAGAAGACAGGCCATGACTGAAAAGTCCTCAATTTGGGGCATGCAGCCAGTAAAACAGGCTATGACCTTCATCTACCCTTGGTAAATACACCTAATTTCTCTCACTCATGACAAAGAAAGAAAAGCTAATTAATCATTTTCAAGAGCTGCTCAGGTCACAGACAGGCCTTGCAGATTGGGTGGCTACAACTTTATACTGTCAGTGTAGGAAAAAGGCAAATATTCTATACCACAAAACAATAAAATGTGAGATTTTTAGCTTTGTACATAGTTTTAAAGAAATGAAGGACAAAGAAACATAACTTCCACAAAGAAACTCTGTATTAAATGAAACTATATCAATTACCAGTCGCTATCAGCAGGCAGAACTGAACTTCACCCACCTCACAGAGACCTAATGTCCCCAGAGAAGGTTTTGGGAGTCCTGGTGGCCAACAGGCTGTCCATGAGCCAACACTCTGTCCTTGTGGCTCA